AGAAAAAAAATGAAAATGAAAATTTAGTCATCTTCTTATCGACTTCTAACATAAAAGGATTTAATTGTAAATGCATATGATAATACTTCAATATCAGTATGAATCATTTTATTAAAGACAAAAAAATAATTTGATTTTACAATACTGGAATAATCATATATCAAAAATACATTATATATGTCTTTGAATAATTGGAATGATTAAAAAAAAAGATTTCATCATTCGCTAATGATCTTTTTTACTAGCCATAAAAAAAAGAATATTTTTGGTGTGAGAAGACTTAATAAAACTTAAATTTGTCGAGTTTCAGTTACTTCATATTAATAATAAATGATTTCTATTTAAGATTAAAGAAGTCCGATGTTAACTAATTGATTGATATACAAGCTTGTTGTAGGTGTCGCTAGCTAGTGTTAACAAACAGTTGAATGAGATTTTTTTTCGACATCTAAAAAAATCTTTTATTATTTTTTCTGCTGAAAAATGTATCATTGCCAAAAGTAGAAATAGGATTTCCATTTATAAATTAAGCTTAAATTAATTAATTTATATTTACTTTGACACTATTTGATTCAAAAAGTGAGTGTTCCAATCATAAAAATATTAATTGTAAATTTTCTCATGTATGAATTACTTGAACTATCATCTTTAATTTTATAGTACTTTATGAAAAGATAGTCATTTTTTTTTTATTACTTTAATATTAATGATTTTTAACATCAGTATAGGTTTGTCGCTTAGCAACTTTTACCATTCGTTACCCTACTATGAAATCTGATCTATCAATTCTTCCTCTGACCAGTAATTTGCGGTTCAGTGTTTTAGTTATTTTATGATTTGTTGATTGTGAAGAAGAAAAAAAAATTCCTTTAGGCACATCTGGCCAATTTCACATCTTTGTTTCATTTGACACAACCATTAATTGATTACTTGAAGTTTATTTTTCTTTGTTACATATTGATCTGTATCGTTCTTTCTCTTACTTTTTCATATTGACTTAAGTTTTGTATATTTAATGATCAAATTCTTCTCGTAAGTAGAAAATTTCATCAAAAATTTTATCCTTGATGCCTGAATTAAACACACATATATATATATATATACATATATATTTATACAAAACTCTATTTAAGCTTAAAAATGGAAGCCTTGCTAAAAAAATATTTTTTACACTTCTATACAATACTTTAATCTCACATTTCTATTTTGTCTATTATCATTCTTTTATCGTCGTGTTTTTTTTTTAAATCCAACTTTGCTTTTTCATAATGAACGATACTATTGAAAGAAATCGTTTATTTTAATACATAAAAGTCACATATTTATGTTAATTACTTTTTTTTTTGTCTTTTTTTATTCATAAAAAAAAATAATACAATCTTTCTTTCTTTGTCGATCAAAGATAGAAATAAAAACATTTAAAGTTAAAGTGAAACATTCATTTCGTCTCCTTGTTCACAAGCATACATAAAACGAGAACCATAATGTTAGTAGAAACATATCCACACATTATCGATCGAAACGAACATACTTGATTCAAATATGTATGTTTTGTTTGTCTTTCACTTTAGACGAAACGTTCGATTGTAACAAAGAAAAAAAATTGGACGAAAGAACCTGTAGAACCTTGAAATAAGAAACGAAAAAAAAATGCTTATTTAGATCATATTTAATTCTATGACTAGATTATGTAATAGAAGTTATAATCTGATATAGATTTTACTCTGCGAAATCAGTATTATCTTGGTGAAATCAGTTGATTTATTATGTAAAGCTGAAATAAAAACATTTTCAAGATATTTGAAGCAAACATACTAGACGAAAGGTGACTAATAGTTGAAGTGACTTAACAAGTTTGTTAGATAAACATCGGAAAGCCATTTTTTTACTGGTATTTAACTGTTTCATTTTACTAATAACAACAAAAGAAAAGAAAACAGAGCATATAGCATACATAAATTTAATATTTTACATTTTCATTTGAAAAAAAAAATTCTTATTCACTACAACCATATAAATAACATTTAATGAACATTTGATCGTATAATGTACCCAGAAATATACAAGTAATCAATTTATTTAGTTTGAAAAAGAAAGGTTTCTCATTTTAGTCAAATAATTGACCACAAAACCGCATGAATTCTTACCTCTTGTTTTTTTTCTTTTTCGGTACATTTTAGTATTGAAGAAGTTGTCGGAATGAAACTAAGAATTCTGTTTTAGTTGTTCTCTGCATTTTTATTGATTTGAATCAATCGAACATTTGTTCAGATTCCTCTCATGTCATCAAAACGTTTACAAAAATTGTGAGTGTTTAAAAAAAAAAAAAAGACATAGCTTTTCATGATCCAATACATGATTATAAACAAACAGTAAAACTTTTTTTTTCTTTTTCGTCATCTTTCTCTTCGACATTCTCCTTTTTATTCTTCGATACCATTGTGATCACAGACGTTTTTACTGTTCGTTTTTTGTCACAGTAGTAAGAACAAAATTCGTATCAATTTTCATCACATACACAAAAAAAAAATCGTTTAACTTAAATGATAAGCATTTTGTCTTATTCAATATGGTAGATGATAATATTGTTGAAGCTTCTATTGTATGTACTACATGACTTTATTTCTTTGATTATCAAAAGACTAGCTTGATTTTAATAATAAAAAAAATCTGTCAAGAATAAAAGCAAATATGCTTCTTATTTTCTTTTAGCGCCTTGAAGTACTTTCACATGATGATGATGATGATAACCAACATAGTCCTGCTCGTAGTCAAAGTCAGGATATCCTTTTAAACAGAGTTCAAACGCCTCCAATAACACGATCACGATCACGATCACCATACACTGTTTCAAGCCCAGGTTTAAATCGAAACATAATGACGACACCAAGTTCTGCTCAACTTATTGATGAAAATCGATATTTAAATGATGAACTGAATCGAGTCGAAACAATACTTAATTTAACTCGAGCTGAAAAAGATGAATTAAGTATACGGTATAATGCTTTATCTGATCGGGTAAGAATTGATATATTAATCAGAATTGTCTAAAAGAAAAACATCTCACTTATAATTTACAAACATTCTTTGTCGTTTTTTTTATTCAGCTTTATGTATTCAGATATTAATTATAAATATTTTCATTCCAATCTTTAGATGTTTTTATTTTTCATTTTTCAAAGAAATATTTTTGTTTATTTCAAAACAAAATAGTAAATTTTGTTTTTATATTTAGCTTGAGCAATCCTTACGTGCACAAGGTATTGATATATCATCAGATTTCAATAATGGTGAACCTGAACAACGTATTCTTGTTCAACAAAACATTGATTTACGACGAAAAATTGAAGAAGAACATCAAAATTACAAACGTAAATTATCGAACTATCAAGAAGGACAATTAAAACAAGCACAACTTGTACAAAAACTTCAACAAAAAGTAAATAAACAAATAAATTCATACATAGAAATTATTTCTTTCTTATAAAAAAGGTTTTACAATATAAAAATCGATGTACAGAACTTGAATTATTAATTGAACAGCATAAAATGGATATGGAACGTATTCGACTTACTGTAAGAGAAAAAAATAAAATTTAGGCACCAAAAAAAAATAACTCAATATTTATTCAATATAGTCAGCTAGTAATGCTCCATCTTCATTGATTTATGAATCACGTATAACAGAAAATACTGATGACGAAAATATAGCAACAATTACACTCGAAGAAGAAAAACATAAGTAAGTTAATACAAATATTCATATTCTCTAATAAAATACATATATTATGAGAATATTATATAATCAAAAAAGAATTTTTTTAAATAATATAGATCAGCTAATCTTGCACAATTAAATACAATATTACGAGAACAACTTGATCAAGCTCATTTAACTAATCAACAATTAAACGAAGATTTACGTCGTACAACATCTGAACTTCAAAAATTACGTGAAGATTTTACACAAAAAAACACGCGATTGGAAACAAGAAGAACGAGTTTGTTTTAGACAAAATTCTTTCTTCTATATATTTTTTTTTGTTTTGTTTTTAGGTTTTTAATCAATTTTATAATAAAGAACAGAATCTTATGTATGAATTATGGCGTGATATTGTTTCATTTCGTAAACAATTTATTGAACTCAAAGGCACAACTGAACGTGATTTAACGCGTGTTCGAAATGATCTTGCACAAACAGGACGATCCTTAACAAGTGCTTGTTTTGGATTTTTAACTGTAGCAAAAACAGCTGAAACTCAAGGACAAGTAAATGATAATATATTGATTTATTCATCTTGTATTATTATTATTATTATTATTGCTATAGGCTGTATCGGAACGTGAACGTCATGATCGTACAAATTTAGAAAGTCAAATTCGAGAGAAAACACGAGAAATTTCAGATCTACAACAAAGGTATTTAATTATTACGTTCCTAGATATATACAAAAAAAAAATTTTTTCTAATCAGATTACAAGAAATATCATTGTTAAATGAAAAATTACGTTTTCAATTGGCTGAAAAAGATGGCACTATTACGACTTTAACACGTGCTAATCAAATTCAACATCAAGCAACAGTTAGTTTCATTTTTTCTATGATACTCTTAAGAAATGATCGAGGAAACTTTCAAAGTTTTATCAATCTTATATAGAAACCTGAAAAAAAAAAAATTTTCTCTATCTAGTATAGAATTAGTAATATTACCATAGATGCAACATCAAGAAACATATCCTTGATCAATACTTAGTTGATGATTGATTCTTTTCTTTTTCTTATTATTAAAATGTAAAATAGACGAAGCCAAATTAAAAAGAAACAAAAACCTGTTTTGGACAACATGAAAATTAGAATAGCCTTCAGATTATTGTAATTATGAACATTTTTATATACGATAAAGTTATTATCATGAGTGCTTGAGTTTGTTAACATATACTCAATTTCAATAGATATAGATGGTAGTTATTTGTTTAATGAACTGGTAATCGTGACTCTTCAACTTTTTCTACGTTGAGTATTTCATGTTATTTGTACTTATCAAACTATAAAAGTCTCAAGGTAAAGTAATGACAACTTGTTCTTTGTCTTTGTTATTATCTGATAGATTCCAACGAACTATTAAATAAAAAGAACAAAGAAAAATTATATTCACTATGATAAACTATTTGTTATTAATTTTCATCAGATACATTACAACTAGGAAAATGATATAACTTCGTACAATTCTGTTCTATGTTATTAGTTATAAAATCTCAATAAGAATAGAAGTTCTTGTAGTTATAAAAAGTGGTTTTCATTGTCAGTATGTTTGTTTTATGTCTTATAACATTTATAAAAATAATGCACTGTATTTCAATTGGCTCTTATAATGATTAAACTAACATTGCATTGTTGTAGGATAGAAATCGATGTATACATATTTATCGATATGAAGTTTGCATTGATGTTCATTTCAGTTCAAAAACAACATTAAATTGCTAGAAAGAATAATCGATTGTGTCTGCTATAGAGAAGCATTTTCATACTGTTCGATCTATTTCCTCAACTTGTTGACATCGTAGTATTCTTTAGCAAGCTATACATCTGTCAATTAACACGAGTAAAGAAAAAAAAAATGATCACAAGAGTAAAAGAAAAATTGACAAAGAGAAAAAAAAAAAAGTATTTTGATAAAAGAAGCCCATTAATAAATTACATAGTCGAGGACACGATTGTTTACTCTACGGCAATAGTAGTGAAAGGTACCTCATGAGAAAAAAATTAAACAACAGCTAGAAGCAATAGTTGTCAATCACTTGTTGTCTGCGACAAATTCTCTCGTCGAGATGTTACAACATAGTGCGGTTACGTGGGTGAGTGTCTATAGACATACGAACACAAATATATATATATATATATCATTGTCTTCTCAAACATTTATTTAAATATCTTGAAAATGAAACTTTAGAATTATATGATTGTCTTTTAATACACTTTTTTATTAGTTAATATTCATCTTAAGACGATGTAAAAATTGATTAATTACAAAGTATTGATCTTGTTCAGGTTTAATTCGATGATAATTTTTCATATGATTTTGATTATCATTTTCTTTTATAATAGAATTTTTGAAAATACGATAACGAAAAATGTATACTAATAAAAGTGTACAGTAAACAATAGATATAGCTAAAGATAAAAAGATAAATGCAATATTATTTCGATTATTTGTTGATATTTCTGTTTCAGAATGAATGATAGTAATAAAAAGCAGAAACATCAATAATATTAATAGTATTTTTTCAATCATTAATTTTTAATGTTTGTAAAAAAATAATTGATTGAAATATTATCAAACAGTTGTAATTGAAGAACAACACCGACGGATGTTACTTGCCAACTATTTCACTATGATCATTAGTAGGAGCAACAACATCAATTCTAATAAACTTTTAGACACAGAAAATAGACTAACAACTGTGCATCTGTATACGAGCTATACAGACTTATCGATACTTGTTTACAAAACTTTCTCAAATTTCTTTTTTTTGACAAATCTTGTTCGTTTAATTCTAATGAAGTTTTTTATAGAGAGGAAAACTTGAGAAAAATGAAATAAGATGCTTGCGGTTTTGCATTCTTTCCTTTTTCTTTTCTTTTGCTTGAAAATATTTCATGGAGAGAATGAGAGAACAAAAAAAGAATTCTCTTCATCGTCACCGTATGGTGTGCATAAGTAATACTACCTTCAACATCAATTCTCATTCTTCTTTTCTCTTCTTCTCGTGTTTCGTTTTCATTCATTTCTTAACATTGTTGATTTGGTTTGCGGTTCCTATCTGACCACTATCGTTATGTTTCGACGAACACAGGTATGAACAAAGTTAATAAAATTCTCATTATAAAAATTATTATTATTATAATTCTGGTATATAATCCATAGCGAAAGTATGTGAACCTAGTATTCGAAAAACAAAAAAGAAAAATTGCTAGAACAATGCTTGTCTGATCATTCATTCTTTTTTCAATCGTTCAATAATCTATGCAAATTTTTACTTTTCTTTCTTCCCAGTTTTTTTTTTCTTTTCGGTTCGTTCATTGCTATTGAATAATCATTTATAGAAACGCGTAGACTTTAATCTAAGATAGTATGATTTATTATAGGAAACGTCGTCTTCGGCTTTAGAAACACGTACTCGAGAAATAACTGCTGATACGGAACGGCTTCACCAACGATTACGAGATATAGCACAATCTGTACTTAATGATGAGGATGATATATTCGATGGAAATGATTATGGACGAACATCACCTCGACGTTTATCACCATTACGGGGTGCTGATCGATTTGATTCACCTGAGCGAGGTTATACTCGGTATGTAATTTACTTTTTTTTTTTTTTTTTGTAAGAAAAGAATAGTAGAAGACAAGTAAGTTCTTTAAAGAGCAATTGAACAAAAGAATTGAATTTTGTGCCCTCACGCGTTTTAAGAGCTCGAACTCCATTGTTCGCCAAGCTCAAAAGGACGAGAATGCTTTTAGGGTAATAGAGGAAAGAAAAAAAAAAAAAGAGATTTTTTTCTTTTTTTTTTATATTACATGAAATTTATCTTAAATTTATTTCTATTTTATATCATCAATGTAAAAAATATGCTTGTAAGGTTTACTTTAAAAATGAATAATCTGAATGGCTTCTGTTAGTTCCTTTGGATAAGAAATCGAAAAAGTTTCTAAAAAAAAAAAAAAAAAAGAAAAGAAGTTCTAAAATAAATTTTATTCAAGGCTTCAAAAAAGAAATACAACAACAACATCCATTGAAATTGCCTTGAAACCAATGGTGTGAACAAGAAAAAAATTTGATCTATTTAACAACATAATGGGAAATCATTATTTAATAACATTTAGAATTCATCTTAAAGAAAATAATTAAATCTGATATGATTTCAATTTTAATCGAATTCATTGGTGTGTATCTTGAGAAAAGTTGTTTCTTTATATTCATATTCATAGCTTTCAATTGTTAAGAGTTCATTTGTTAGTTTTTAAAATTCGTTCATTCATTGATATGAAGAGCTACCATTATCATTGACGTAATCAACATGCACAATGTTGATTTGATATGTTATTTATTAAGAAAAAAAAAAAAACACGAATTCATTATTGTTCTTTTTTCTTTATTCAAAAATGCCTTATTATAAGTAGTTCGACAGAAAAAATGTAATATTTTTTTTATTATCTGCAAAAAAAAAAGAAAAATACTAGAAACCAATAGAATCGATTGTTATGTAAATTTAACATGAGTGATAAAAAAATAACAGAAAAACTCTTAATAAAACAAGATAAGAAAAAATAATGAAACATCTCCAAATCCAATAAAGAGAATGTTGTTTTACATGCTATAGAAAATTTTAAAAAATTTACTTTTTTTACTCATTCAAGAATAACCACAATTAAGAATGCAGACATCATTTGTTTGCCAAACTAGACATTGAAAAAATGAATTCACCGAAGATAGATACTTTTTAAGTCAAATTTTAAAATAATAGGCCTTGAAATCATCTATCAAGATCAAAATCTTACGAGAAAATTCTTTCAACTGATAAACTCCATTCAAGCTATTCTTTGAGTTCTTCAGAAGTATCGAAATTTTAGTGAGTTATTCAACAAAAGCTGTCGTATTATATAAAATATTGAATATCTCAAGATAGAAAATACTAGAAAAGCGACAACTTATCCAATGAACTAATAATCCAGTAAAATGTCGGTATCTCAAAAACGAAGGTCTGAAACCTACTAGTACCTTACTAATGTCACACCATCGAAATTCTAAACATTTTGTCTCCATATCATATCTAAAGACATTCATGATGATAAAAATCTTTTTTCTTGTGAATATATAAGGAAATCTAATGGATTGTAACTATTATGTTTAGACTTCGTTCGCCTCGATCGAATTCACCTCAACGTCCAACGCAAGCATCTCGACCACACTCTCGTAATGTTTCACCATCATTTGCTGATAGTACATTTAGTGCTGTTCATGCTGCATTAAATAAACGTCAAGTTCAGGTAATAAATCATTATTTAAATCGATAGTCTATTTCTCATTTCATTTTTTTTTCTTCTTTTTCTTTTTGGATAACGAAAAATAAAAATTTTCCTTACGTGATCCGTTTAGATTTCACTTGGTTGGAAACCTAATAATTATCTCACCGAAAGAGGAGGAGTACCAAATTAAACATAAACTAAAAAAACTAAACTATCTCGAATTTTTTTTTTTACTTGATTTTTTTAATTTCTCGCTTTTAATACAGGGTGTCTCAAAAGTCTGTC